CCAGAGAAGTTGGCTGGATGGATTGCGCTGACCATTATAACCCATTATAACCAGGAGAGCTTAATTAAATGAGCGAGTGTGCAAACTATATAAACACACCCGTCTTTATTCACAGCAGCTCTCCCACTCACTGCTATAAATACCTCACCGGCCCCTTTGCAGTTTGTGGACATGGATATGCTGCCATTTCCTCTGCTAATCTCCAATTGTTTGGGGGCCTGGCCAAGTGCCACAACGGAAAAGTTGCCATGCTTGCTGCTTTTTTACAGGCATGCCTTCCACAGAGTAATTATTACTTCCTGGAGGGCTGAGGGGCTAAATTTAACGTTAGCCATAGATTTACTCCTGGGGTCACATTTATACACACTCACCACTGCACATTAAAGGAACGGCGTGTTTTTATTCCCCCTCCCCCATATATGTCTATCTCAGGCAAAGGGAAAACTTTTGTTCTTCCTCTGCCTCTCCTGAGAACACAAACATGATAGAAAGTCACCTTACTGGAGAATTGCTGCTTCCCTGGATGACAGAACACTCCATTCTCAAATTAATTTTGCTCAGAATCTTTCTCATGTCGCACGGGGACCATTTCTTGCGCGTGGATCTCAGCCAGAGAAGCCCATGGCTTTTCAAAATGATAATTGCCTCATTACACCGGAGTGTCCGCATTTTAGTGGTGAAAGAAATGACTGTTTAGCTTGGAAGACTTTTTAGTCCAGAAAGATAAAAGCCCGGGTGAAAAGTGTGGGTGTGCGAGGGAGTCACGGTGGCCTTCAGAAGAGGAAGTGTTAATGTACAGAGGATGGAGACCAGCTGCTTTTCATCTCCACTGAGAGCAGGCCGGAGGAAATGGGCCCACATGCTCGGGCGGACGCGGGGAAGCTGCTGCAGAAAGAGCGTCCTTTCTTGCAGGGCCAGCGCTGGAGGAAACAGAGCCAACAGGATTTCTAGAAAGAAATTGGGAAATGGCTCTGAGGGAGGTATATGTTACTGTAAAATTCCCAAATTAGGAAAATTTCTAAATACACCCTTAAATTACTTAATTTTCAGGGCACATTATCATCCTCCTCTTAACAAATCACTCTTACATGCTTACAAAATGTAAGCCGGTGTACTGAGAGGAGCTCAGCAGTCTCTTCATGTCTGGGTTTGGATTTCCATTTTGCAGTTTACTGACTTCATTACCGTGGTTTCGTTATCCAACCTCTCTGAGTTTAATGTCCTTATCTGTATACCAACATATCTAAAACATTTTTCATAGAGAAGTGGTTACCATCGAAGATAACATATATAAGTTTTCTAGTACAAAAACAGGTACATATTAAACATGTAATAATAACATTGGGTATCTGATATTATGATCTGCAAAGCCTACAAGTGCAAGGGACTGTTCAGTACTTAATTACAATATGAATAGTTTGTTCCTGATTTATACTTTAGGAAACTGAAACACCAGTAGGTTAAGCTAAGTTGCACTAGGGCATAAAGCCAATAACATATATGCTGAATTTAAAAGCTGGTGCTCTTCCTACCATACCACACTTTCTCATATTATATGAAACAAATGAAGGATATGGAGATTGCTGATTAGCATATGCACCTATTATTAAAATCTTTAGTTTTCAAAACCCAAGCTCTCAGAGGGTCTATCAAGCCCGGTCCATGTGCACGATATGGAGCAGGACATTAGGCGATATAGCAGTTAATTTGCTTGGAAGATCTCTCAAACATTAGTAAGTCTTTGCAATAAAGGGAGGTGCATTGAATTTATTTTAGATCTGCAAACTATTTTTCATCAGTCTCTACTACCTCATCTATTTATCCAATCAATAACAATTTGTCCATGTCTGTGTTTCAGAGGATGTGTTCGGGACTAGGAATTTATGATTTAAGGATGATCTTCTACTGAAAAAGAAAAATATCACCAAGTTCTTGCTATACAGTGAGGTAAGTACTATATTATGAATGACATAAAGCTTTCAAAAAATTTTTTGGAAAAGTGTTTCAAAGGAACTAATAACTGAGCCAGGTCTTATGTGTGGTAGGAGAGCAAACATCTAGTCAAAGACCCTGGTAAAATGCTAAAAATTCCAAAAAAAAAAAATTACTGAATGTATAAAACATCTTAATATCTTATGTACAGTAATTCAGACTAGTGTTACCTTAAAGGCAGTAAAATATTGGAACCAAGAATGAAGTTATAATGATGAGGACAAAGTTGAAGTCTAATGCAAAAAATAGCACCACTGGGGGCCGGAGGGGGAGCGCAAGAAAAAAAAAAACCACCACTAATTCTTCACTAGAAAAATTATATCAGTAAACAGACTTTTCCATTTAGAATATTATTTGTTTTGGACACCAAGAAACTACTTCCTTATAGAGCTACAGATAAGGGAAGGAAACATGTAGATGTGGTTCCCGGGATAGCCAATCAGATATACCTGGACTATCGCATATGATATTTCTACACATATTCTAGCCAGTTTTGCTCAATGGTCAGAGCATCAGCCTGCAGGCTGAAGGGTCTTGGGTTGAATTCTAGTCAAGGGCATGTACCTTGGTTGTATCTCGATCCCTGGACCCAGTTGGGATGGGTGTGGGAGGCAAACGAACGATGTGTCTCTCTCACATTGAGGTTTCTCTCTCTGTCTCTTCCCCACCCTTCCTCTCTTTCTAAAAATCAATGGAAAAAAATCCTTGTGTGAGGATTAACAATAACAACAAGAGATGTTTATACACATTAGCTGGCCTGGATACTTTTAAGCAATCATTTTTACACCAAATACACTAACTAACGTGGTATTTTGATGACTTTAGAATACCCCAGTCAAGCTATCAGCCATTTATTTTACATTTACAAATTGCTGTTCTAAATAATTTTACCTTTTTATATATGTTCTGAGATATAAAACAGTAAAAGTCAAATATTAAATTGAAGGGCTTTAGTCAAATGCATGCCCCTTTAATATAATATTTAAATGTATTATATAGTAGAATGTGTATGAACATTAAGGGAATAGTTTGGCATTTTAGGTTTCTTGTTAGTGGCCTGTAACTGATATCTTTGAGATACTAATTTTGTGTTTTATTTGGACATTGCAAGAAAAAATAATTCTACAAGTTCTGAGCAAACCAGAGAGAATTATAGCAGCAAAAATCATCTTTATAAAGGGTCAAAAGTTTAAATTCAAATACCGAGTTTGGTGACTGTTAAAGTGACTATGATGGTTAGCATCTTTACATGAATTTGGAAGACATGTGCTTATATATGTAGTGTTATTCATACTATATTTTATCAAGTACATATTGTGTTTGGATCAAAATACCATAAGGGAGACCTTAAATTTCTACTATGTAGGACTACTCCCATAAAACCTATTACATATTTTATGTTACTAGATGTGGGTTTTTTTCTTTTCTCTCTCTCTCTCTCTCTTTCTCTCTCTCTCTCTCTTTTTAAGATCTACTTTTCCAACTGGTGTGATTTGTGGTAAATCCATTTTTTCCTGTTCTTTCCATGCAGATTTTTTATTTTTCCTCTGATATCTCAGTAATTAATATTTCTTTTAAAAATCTTAAACTGTTTCAGTGGTTAATTTAATAAAGTTTGTAATTTGATTTCAGAAAGCAAACATAATAAAATCGTCATAAAGTCTTAAAATATTCTTGACTATCAATAATGTAAATATTTTTAGCATTCATAAAGTGTTCTAGTTTTTAAAAGGCTCTATTAACAAGCTACCATCATGATGATGTCTTTCTAATGGTTATCTTAAGAGTAAAGAAAAAGTCTTGGCATTTTATTATATGTAAAATATATAAAATATCACTTAATATTCACAAAAAAATACTTCACTTTTTTTCTCATTAACAAAAGAAACAATTCTTTGTGTAGCAGTTTGGTACTAATCATGAAGTAAGTAAAGTCCCTGAAAATAGCATACAAACATTAGACTTTAAGTCAAAAATGTTTATTGTAAAAAAGGACATTGAAAATTGTTTTTTAAAAAAGAGACATAATTTCACAAGTCTCAACATTAGCTATAGAAAACATCTCATTTTCATACAAAATTCATTCAATCATATAAAAATAAACACAAATTTACATTAACTCAGCAACTATACAATTAAGGCACTTGGAAAGGGTGTTGTATAGATTGCATTTGCTGTATGCATTTAAAATAGTTTAAGTACATTACTGAGTTTCTGAGAATCCTTTCTTGCACTTATTCCCATCTTTAATTAATTTTATAAAATCATTAAAAATTATCTGAAAAGTAAGACATGGATGGAGCATGCACCAGGAATGTTCAAAGCTAGACTTGCCCTCCTCCCCAAGGCACATACTGTTTATTGGCAAAACAAACACAACAACAAAAACAAAAACACTTTTCATGCGGTCTCCTGTGTTTTGTTCTTGTCCTTTTTCTTCCTCTCTCCCCTAAAAAGACAGTTTAAAGCATTACAGGCGATCAAAAAAAAAAAGCTTTCGTTCAACAACTGTAACCAGACATTAGACATGTAATGAAGTAAACTTGGAACAGTTTATAAGGCACCTGAGATAGTGTCTGGCAGATTCTCTTCCTATTAGAAATCCTATTACAAACCCTATGACAATACAATACTGTTCTTTTCCGTTGAAATGATTTGGCAGCAATGTAAATCTTTGCATTCTTTCTTAGTCAGAAAAGATACAATGTGCTTTTTGCTTCACCTTTGAAGAGAAAGATCCTTGTCTTTTATTCTCTCTATCTAGCTGTCAGTGAATATATAGTACTTTTCAAACTTCACATGGAAAGGATTAACTTTAAACACATGGATTCCATGCTCTTGCAGCTTTTAGTTGTGTGTGTGTGTGTGTGTGTGTGTGTGTGTGTGTGTGTGTCTCTATACATATTATTTGGTCGATACGCACAAGAGAAAATGCCTTTGGACTTTTCTTTATCATTTGGTCGGAGTGGAGAAATGCGTTCTGTTCGAGTAAACATTGGTTGTGTCACTCAGTGTGCTACACAGCAGCCAGATTCCTCATGTTTGTGCAGAAGAGACATTCTGGAGAAGGTTTTGGAGCAGTTTTTGCACTGGTATTTCTTTACGTCAGAATGGGTCTGCAGGTGAGCCCTCAGATTGGATCTGTCTGCAAATGCTCTGTTGCAGTGCGGACAGGAAAAAGGCTTCTCCCCTGAGGTGGAGGTGGAGTGGGGGAAAGAAAGACAGTCAGTGTTTTTAGAGGAAACGCACAGACACACAAGGTTCATGAACAATCACATTTTGCCAAAAGAAGCTTCAAAACTTGATTAAAATTTCCCATAATAAATACTTATTAATATCTAACCCTTTAAGATCAATTTGAATGTTGCATTGAAAAAATCACATTAATCACCTTGTTGCTGCTGCCAGTATGTAGAAATAACTCATGTATTTTTAGGACTTTCACTAATGAAAACTTTCTGCTTCAGCAGGTGAAGCGAATGTTTAGCTCCTCCCAACATTTCCCAACATCTCCCCTTTTCCCTCTTTCTGTATTATGACTAAGTCTGGATAAATGCCTTGACTCCCTGCGGAATGGGCTAGGAATAAAATTTTTAAAAGTCAGCAGCAAAAAACAAAGCAACTGAAAGCAAATTCAGTTCTAATTCCTGCAACTTGCTCTAGGGTGAGATATATTACAGCAAAAAGATGACTAACAGAAAACTATAGGAAGAAAACCATCTCTCTAGCCAATACTTTGAGATAGCAACATTTATATTTGCTGATTATTGGAAACTTTCACAGAACAAACATTCCAGTACCTCTTTTCTGATTTTCTAACTGATCTTTGAGACCAAACCTTCCGAATCTACTTTCCAAAGTCTCAGTCCTGTTTGCAGTCTCTGGAGCAGAGGCTGTTAAAAAAGAAACGAGGCAGTGTGTGCTCCAAGGACTCTTTGAGTCATCAGGAAGTAGCTATAAATGACCATCCATCATTAAAAGCACTGTGTCACTACCCAATGCAAACCCTCATGCCCACCCCTCGCTTCAGTCTGTTAGAGAGCAACATTCCTGTCTAGGTTTTCTCTTACCAGTGTGAGTTCGAATGTGTCCTTGCAGTAACCAGGGCCTGGAAAACGCCTTGCCACAGATCTTGCAGACACAAGGTAAGGTGTGGGTCCGAATGTGCATCTTAAGGGCGCCCAGGCTCACATATTCCTTGTCACAGTATTTACAACTGAAGGATTTCCTGGACTGGGCATCACAGTGCAACTGCTTATGCTTGGCCAGCCCCGAAAAAGTTGAGTAGGTCTTGTTGCATAAATTGCACTGAAACTTTTCAGCTTCAATGGCATGGGGGTCTGAGAGCTTGGACTGCAGTCTTTCCTCTTCATCACTAATGGGGCTTTCTGAGCCACTGTGGTCCTTGGAGGAGGTGTCCGATGGAGAAGGGGGACTCACTCGACCCAAGGATGAGGCATATCCAGGAAGAGAAGAGAGGCCGCTGGGTAGCGGGGCATGGAACGGGGCTGCCGTAGTCCACATGGTGATGGGGCTGTAGGCGCCCGAGCTGAGGATCTCTGGTTGTGGTATGACAGGCATGGGGTAGCTCTCATACAGATACGGGGAAATGATCACTAGAGGAAGAAATGGAGAGAAGAGGAGATTAAGGTGAAGCATTAACCATACATCCACCGAGAAGCTACTTGGCAACAGGCACGGTGCTCTGTGATGAAGATTCCTTCTGCCTCCGCCCTGGCTGCAGGGTGGTGGTTACTGAGCCGCAGGCACAGCTATGCCTCCTGCGCGGAGTGTGACAGGAGCCAGGCCAGTGCCTTCGCTGTCCCGGCCCCGAGGAGGAGGGAACACCTAGATTTTATTTTTAACGACACATAAAAGTTGTTTTTCATTTTGTGCATGCTTTACTTGCAGGTGTATAACTCTAGGTACAAAGTTGTGTGTAAACCCAACTGCTTTCTAAAGGAAAGGCGCCTTATTACATGAAAAAAAAAAAAAAAAGCAATACTTCAACAGCTACGTATTGTGTTACTCATCTTGCATATATTCATTATGCATGTACACACAGGCTTTGGAAAACGAAGCTGCAGAGAGTTGAATGAAGTTCTCCTTGTCAGTTAAACGTTTTAAAAGTTTTCAATTAAGATGTATCCTGGATGATCAAAATAATCTGAATTCTCTTTTAGGACACGACTTAAAAGGAAAACAATCTAGTATTTAGTTCTTTTGTAATAGTATTTGAGTTGTGATATCTATTTATATATTTTGGATGTATATAGATATAATGTCTTTTTTTAAATTTCTCTCCCTCCCTTCTTCCTTCCCTCCCTCTCTCCCTTCCTTCCTTTTTATTGTTATTATAATATATTATTTTTTCTTACCTGTGTGTGTGTCCAGTTCGCTGTAGTTGGGCTTTTTGGAGGCGTTGAAATGCTTCTTGACCAGGAAAGAGCGCGGCATCTTGCCGGCGGGTCTGGCGGGCGCCGGCGGATAACGGTCCGGCGGGAGGACGCGGCCGGTCCTAGAGCATCGTGGCCGGCGGCCGCTCAGGTGCGCGGAGGAGGAGGAGGGCGCCGCCGGGAGGCCGGGCTGGCGGGGACTGAGCCCGGGCTGCGGCCGGGTGGGTTTTTTCCTCTCTCCTGCCGGCGGCAGCCAATCGCCGCGCGCAGCTTCGGGTTTCAGCTCCTCCCTCTGGGACAGCTGTGAACAGAGGAAGAATCTGTTGTCAGACTGAATTATTCGGCTGCAAAATGGGCTGTGCTTGGGCATTTCAGTGGGGAGAGGGGAGGGAAAAGTGCTTAAGTATTTTCAGGAGAGGCGATTTCACTCCTTTAGCGCCGCCGGTTAGTGGGATCTGTGATTTCTAAAAACAAATAAATAAATAAAGGGGGCGAGGCTGGCTCCGGATGTCAGGTAGAACCAAAGCACTGGGACCACACGTGGGGGGTCTGGGGGTCTGGGAGGGGCGCCTGCAGGGTCCCAGCTCGGCTCCGGTGGGAAGAAAGCCTATATTTGGAAGTGCCATTTGGGGAGGTTCTGCCTGTGCGGAAGCAGACCAATGAGCTCTGGGCTTTTGCAAAGGGAAGGTGGAGGCGAGGAACAAAAGCCCCCGGAGTGAGGAGGGCGCCTCCGTGGCGGGGCTCCCGGGGTGCAGGCGGGCCGGCTCCGGGGGCGCTGGTCCCGTGGCCAGGGAGGCACCGCAGGCCCCAGAGGCTCCGGGTCCGAGGCTGCGCTTTCCCGGGAAAACGAAATAATCCTGTCCCCACGTTAGCCGTGCCCCCACGTTAGCAGTTAGCCGTGCTGGCTGCAGAGAGCTCTTTAGCCCACGGGAGACCTGCTGATGGGAGGGCTAGGGAAGGGCTCCGGGGCTGGAGGGGCGTGGGGGGCAGGGAACAATAGGAAAACTGTCCTTAGGAACCTTGAAGATTCCCACCGAAGCCTGTGACAAGATTATGTCTCTTCACATGTCACTGTCATGGGGGGTTGGGGGGGTGAACGGGCCTTAGAGACAATTGTTTCATTTCCTATATATATCTGCCCTTAAAGGGTGCTGTTTTCCTTAAAGCCATCCATATTCATCCGAGGAGCTGCTGGTTTCCTGGACTGAGCTGTTAAACAAAGGATGCCATTATGAGCACTGCTTGGTGGAAGTGTGAAGAAGCGAGCCTGTGTAACCAATAAAAAATACTTTTAATTTTATATACGATATTAAATCTAAAAATATTAGAAATGGCTCATTGGAAACTTAACTGGAAGTAAAATGTTAACTGTGTTTTCAAGCATCTCTGTCCATTCCAGACTTTTCTCCCTACCTTTTACTTTAAATAGTAAAGAAGAAACAAATTCGCGATAGGGCCGCTTCACCTTGTTTCTGACAGGTGTTGGGAGAGGGAGGAAAAGAGCGGGAAGAGGACCTGACAGGAAAGGGCTTTGTCAGGGTGCCTGGCTGCTTCCTCTCCGGGTGGGAAGCCCAGACTGGGTGGTAGGGGTGGGGTGCTCCTGGGTTTTCTGAGCTGTTTCAATGATCCCTTTGTTCTTCCAACAGTCACCAATTTAAATATTGGAGAAAGGAATTTGGATGGATCTTTATGTTTAAAAAAAAACAACAGTATTTGTAGGAGACAGGAAAATATGAATATGCATTAGATTCCTCCACAAACTGTCAACTGGAGTAGAATTTGGAGCAAGTTTTCTGAGCTTGCTGCCTCCTCTGAGGGTTTGCTCAGACCTGGGCACCTGGTTCATGGCAGCAGGAGTCCTCCTTGCCCTCGCCGCCACATTCCCGGGAAAGGCACGTTTTGGTAGAGATATCCTAGAGAAAGCTCAAGCAGCCATGTGCTCTGGCTTCCTCCTCTCACCCTAGGCAGTCCGTTCGCCACAGTGGTGAGTGTTGTTCTGTTATTTACTTGTTGGTAGTTATAACACAAGAAAACCGGCGGAAGTGTGTATTTTTTTTAAATCTATTTAAAATGTTTAACAGTGATTCACTCCTCTTAGAAAAGAGAAGCAAACCTGAATTTGGATGACAGATGCGTTACTGAGCCAATGGCCCGCTGCCCGTCCAGGGAGGCTTAGCACAGGACACAGATCAGAGCCGGGAAATGTGCCCCACCCCCTGGGACCAGCGGACAGCACTCAGGATCGAGTGTGAGGCATGTCATTACACGGGTCTGCGTGGTGACTAGTCACACGCAGCCCTGCATGAGGTCTGGTCTGCTGTCAGGAGAGGCGGAGCCTGCGAGCTGATGGCGTGAGTCAGACAGGTGCTCTGCTCAGACACAGCAGAGAGCAGTTGGCACCAGGATGGTCTGAGGGAAGTGAAGCCCGCACTCAAAGGCATGCTGCATGGATGTGGGGTGTTGGGGGTGGGGGAGAGAGGAGGGTAAAATCATCTGGAAAAGCTGGCATTAACCACTGACTAAAAGTCTCTCTTGCCCAGGAACAAAAATCTTTGCTAAGACATCAACAAGACACCAAGTTTACATGTTCCATTTGGGCCAAACCAACCCAGGTGGGCTCGGTAATGCAAGAAATTAGTCTTAGGCTGACACACTTGGGGTCACTGGAACAGAGGGGAAATGGGGCTTATCCTGAGATGTTACTGTGTACTCGGCCCAGACTGGGTGAGGCTGGTGGGCGGTAAGAAAGGCTCCGCCCCTAGCCTCCTGACAGGTAAATGTGAGGTACCGAGAGACGAAAAATGGAGGGGAAGTAGTGCCCCTGAGTAAGGTCCCTGCGGCCTGGTGCCCGGAAGCACTTGGTTATCATGGGGGACTGAGGGATTAACGTATGACCCTCCCTATAGTAGAAGCACCCTAGAGGGGCTTTTCTTTTACCTGTTTCCTGTGGGGTGTCTGGGACATCAGGAGCCATGCAATGTAATTCCTTAATTGTCATGAGTTTTATTAGGATGTGACTTGATGTGACTCATGTGCTAGTCTCTTATTTTCTCTGTTATATGAAGAACCTGACAAAAATAATTTGTGGAAAACTGTGTAAATTAAAGGTCTGGGACCCAGGCGCGGGGGGGGGGGGGGGGGGGCAAGCCCCCACAGGCCCTCCTGTGCTGGTGGGGTTTCTCCTGGACCCAGTGTTTTTTGTGAGAGACACAGTCTTGTCTTGCTAAGTAGGGAAATAAATTATATTCGTGAGAGTTGAGAATGCAGCTTCGGTTTACTCACCTTGCCCAGAGATTTGTGTACCTGTAGGTATTAGGGGAGGTTAAAAGCCACGCAAATACTGACTGCTAAGTTTGGGAAATGGAGTAGATCTAGCAGCAGAGAAACCATGGTTGGCAGAGGCAGGAAATTCCATCCTGTGCTGTGCCCTTTCTCCTAACATGCACGGCATCTCTTTTTAGCTTTAGTTTGCGGCATGACCAGCCTGGAGTGAGCAGGGAAGAATGGCCTCCCTTGAACGATATGGAGTTACGGAATATTGTTAGTTTGACTGTGATGTCTGGAGAATACTAGAATGCATTACTGATTGTTAAACTGCATAGTAACAGTGTTTATTATATGTAACTTTGAGATTTGAATGACAATAATGTGATATCATCTCACGGTTTTTGTATATATTTATGTGTGTATGTTTGTGTTTGTATTTGTGTTCATAATTCTTAATTTAATTCAGTCTCAGACAAGGTTAACCAACCTTTGAAAGAGAAATAAATGTTTCCTTTAGTACATGAGTATCTCTATCTGTAAATTATACGTTAAACTTTTCCCTCATTTCTTTTAAGATGATTTAGAGGTAAATATTCCTCAGTATAAAAGGGAAAATAATCAGAGTGAGCATAGAATTCTGCTCATATATTTTGAACTTCATAACAAGGAGAACCCCATTTCTCTGGAAACATACGTGGAACTACATACACACCCACCATACATAAATGTATCTACTTAGTGCTGTTAACTGAGTTAAATGTGATCACGTGTGTGCGTGTGTGTGTGTGTGTGTGTGTGTGTGTGTGTGTGAATTGTAGTAAAATACAATAGCAAACAAATGATGTCAGGATGTCCCTCTGCTCTTTAGGAATGTCTATTATTTCCGGTGTGTTCCCAGGGCCATTTTCACCAGGCAAATAGTCACTAGCAATGTGTGTCTATCTGGAGTTAGCTCTCATACTGTTAACTCAATAAATACTGTCACACAGGATTAATAGATAGTTAAGATCACTTCAAAACCTTATTGAACATGGGAACAACATTTAATGAGATTCATTCTGTGACAAATGCTTGTGTTTAGAAATCACTAGTATTCAGAACTGTATTCCTCGTTAAAGTTTTTATAATTTCACTTCCTGTCGTGTGGCTATAATATGGTTAACATCATGCAAGACAGAAGATATTCATCTCTTCAATGTTATATTTGCACCTTGTAGAAAATGTTGATGATCTTATCTATAAGATGAGCAAGAAAGACTGTTGAAAATGTTGAATTTATAGTTTATACAACAACTCAGGCATATGTGGTTGCAAAGAGACATCTATCGGTCAGTTTTGGAAGACTCACTTGCTTTTTCTGTAACTTTTTAACAAGGTCTGCCACCTAGTGGAAAATGGTGGCAGACCAATTTGACTGGACACTGAGAGCATCCACCTGACCTCATTTTGTAGTTGCCCCAATTTCAGAACATTCTTTTAATCTTATAAATTTTAATTGACTCATAATTTAATTTTTAAATGATGTATTTGTGTTTGTAGAAATGTAGGTTATATTTATACAACAAATTATGTTGGATTTATAAGATAGGTGAGGAAGGGAAATTTATAATGTTCATCAATCTGCATAGTCAATGACTAAAAAGAAAGTAGGCAAAAATAGTAGCATTATATTTAAAACTTAATGAGAACCTCAAATGACTTATTCTCTATCCTATATAATAAAAGGCTAATATGCAAATTGACCAAATGGTGGAATGACCAGTCAGTATGATGTGCACTGACCACCAGAAGGCATATGCTCAATGCATGAGCTGCCCCCTGGTGGTCATTGTGCTCCCACAGGGGGAGTGCCACTCAGCCAGAAGCTGGGCTAATGGCTGTCGGGAAGTGAGCCTAAGCTACCAGTCAGACATCCCCCACGGGCTCCCAGACTATGAGAGAGCACAGGCCAGCCTGAGAAATCCCTCCCCCCAAGTGCATGAATGCTGTGCACCAGGCCTCTGGTATCTCCGTAATGACCTATAAGATGGAGATGCTTTAAAGGCAGGGAACAAAGCCTGGGCCCAGTTTTCCAGGGTCATTCATAATGAAAAGTGATGGAAC